AGTTGGCCAGGAAACTGACCATCGGCATACAAACGTCGTCTCAATCGCGCACTGGCTCTCGTCGCCCGGCCGCCCGACGCGATCGCTGATAAGTATGTCAGCGAATGTCCGACGTTGTGCTCCTGCATTCGAGTACATAAACTGCGCAGAGCAGCATCAGCTTGGAATCCGTCGAGTCTGCCATCTCCGCCTGAATCTTGCGTTGTTTCATACATATACGCATCTGCGCGCTGCGTACAGCTAAGCCTCTTTCAACCGCGTGCTTTCCGAGACACCCGGTACTCCATCTCCATTCCTGGACACTGCTCCGCGAGGTCGTTAGTCGAGCTTTGTTATCGTATGCGCTGCAGCGTGTCGCGTCCTCGTCGCTGGCCTCGCGTACAGTCCCGAACGTGCCTGGCCCCTGATTTTGTGTAGCCCCTCGCTGACACGTCGACCGACGTTTTCCAAAGGTGTCAGGTGTAAGTAATGGTTTCCTTTGCGCATGACGGCCAATCCTCTTCGTACTGCAGCGCAGTGGATTAACGCCTTCTATATTCAGCATTTAGCCCTTGAGCTGCCGGCGACGAGCTTAACTCTCAACGCAGTGCCATTTCCAAGTGCGCTCACTCAGGTTCTTACTTCCTCACTCGCACAAAAACCAAGAGAGAGCAGAACCGAAACCATACAATTCACACAAGCACGGCACACTAATCTACTAAAACACGCCCCCATCCCCGCGCGCACACGCCCAAGTCCGTGTCGTCGTTGCTGTTTTCTAGTCTCCAGTTTTACAATGTTTTGCGGCTACCCGTTTTTCTTGCGTTTCTTCAATGTTTTTGTGATTTCTTGGTTATTTGAGTTTTTTGCGTATTTTGAGGAGCTGGACGAGGGGAGGCGGGGGGCGCGCGGGTGTCCTGGACGAGGTAGCCGGACAGGTTCACCGAGGGTGCTGCGAGCAGCGGAGGGAGGGGGAGGCGGGGGCGCGCGGGGGTCCTGGACGAGGTAGCCATGCCGGACAATTCACCGAGTTTGCTGCAAGCAGCGGAAGAGGGCGGGGCCGCGCGGGTGTCCTGATCGAGGTAGCCATTTGCCGGGGGTGGTGACCGTGGTGTGCTGGGCGCGAGCTGGACCTTCGTTCGCCGTGACCGGAACGAGAGTCCTCATCGTCCTCCTCCGCCATCACATTCTCCTCATTCTCCTTCTCCTCCCACCTCTACGCACTCTTGGCCGCGGCGCGACCGATCCAGGAGTACCGGCGCCCCAGGCACTTCGACAGCTTCGACCACTGGCGCGAGGCGAAGAACGCCACGACCTCGGCGTCGGTGAAGCGCTGGAAGTTGTCGGCCGGGGTGTACGTGGTGCCGGAGATCTCCAGCAGCCACGCCCAGTGCCGCAGGCTGATGACCTCCTCGAAGGCGGCCCTAAGCGCGCGCGGCAACGAGGGCGAGCTGGGCGGGGGCGAGGAGACTGGGGCGGGAGCGGACGGCCGACGGGCGGGCGAGGACGAGGGGGCCGACCAGAAGACGTCTTCCACCTCCCGCCTCTGCGTGTTCTTGACGGCAGGGGCCACCTCAACGTGGTTGATCGTCGAGTCCCTCCTTGGCATGGGGACCTCGACCCCCATCCACTCCTCCATCATGACCCACTCCGGCGAGCCGAAAAAGGCCGCGATATCGGCGTCATCAAAATCCTCGCACTGGTCCTCCCCAGTGTACTCGAGCCCGGCTGCCTTCAGCATGTCGGGCCACTGTGGCCGTCTCGTCAGCCCCTCGAAGATGACTCTGAGCAAGGGCGGCGATGAGGTCACGCTGGGCGGGAGCGACGACACTCGAGCGGGTGCGGGAGACGGAGGGGTGGCAGGTGCGGGAGATGAGAGGGCAGGCTCGGGCTCCGGTTGGGCGGGTGCTGGGGCGGGCTTGGGGGGTGCGCGCTGGAGCAGCGCTGGGGCGGACGCGAAGCGGAAGGTCGACGCGGGGGCGGAGACGGGCGGCGATGGGGCGGGGGCGCTGATACGGCGCGAGCCAGAAACCAGGTCGATCTTGGCGTTGACGAACGCTGGCGCGACGCTGGGGGTGGGGTAAGCGCGGGGAGCGCTGTCCTTATGAGCGGCCGCGGCGGAGAGACGGCGGTGAGGGCGGCGGGGAGCACGCTGCTGCCTCTTGACGGCCTTCTCCTTGTCGCGGGTGTTGCGGCGTCGCGAGGTGAGCGCTTTGCCGCGCGCGCGGATGCCAGCCTTGTTGGTGATAATGGCCAACGCTTGGCGCCCGATCTGTACGGTCGTAAGGCTGGCGAGTTGGGTGCTGGCAGCCGAACCATCCGGGTCCTTGAGGTCCGCGACTCTGAGGGCGAGGGCGTCGTTCGCCGGAAGACCAGCGACTTTAGTCGCGGTGGGCGCGAGTGGAACTTGGACCGGAGTTGGCAGACCGCCGGCGGTTTCGGGCTTGAGATGGGCGAGTAATTTGCCAGGCATGGGCATAGACGTGGGACGAGGCTCTATAAAGTAAAATATAAGCGAGGGAAGTACACAAAGTGTGATGCACGTACGGGTAGCGACGACATCGTTGGCTATAGAACAAAGAGGGTGAGATGGTGGAGGACACGAAATGCGAGAACACCTACCTCCAGCCTCAATGCGAGTGTGATTATGAACATCGCCGTCACCGTCGCGGCCCGCCGTCCCGCAAAGACGTCCGAAGACGGGGAGGCAAAGAGCAAACATACTGAACGAATGTAGAGTGGGTGTGGATGTGGGTAGGTGTGGTAGCTGGTAGGCTAGTGATGCTGGTGGGCGATGGTGGTGGTAGCAGAACAAGAAGCGTTCTGAAGTGGCTGACATCCAAGTCGCTGACTTGTAGCTCTTCAAAATTTGGTCCAGTTTTGTTCGGCAGGGCCCGTAGAATGGAGTTCGGCAGGTCTCAGGTATCAGGTCGTAGAACGGTGCAGGGCGGAGTACATTTGAGTCCAAGAGCTAGATATTGAGTACCGATGTATTCTGCCCAGTACCGCATCTGATGCTCAAGAGCCTGGGATTTCTGTATTGATTCAAGCCAGACTGAGATCTTTTCTTGGATGCTTGACCCGCTTCTGCGAACATCAGAGCCGCAGACCGTACATGAGTGCTTGTAATTTCTGCAGTGGTGACTTGGTGGTGACAGTTGGGGACAAGTTGAGGAAGCTGCACCTGACCGGGCCGGTATTTGCCGGCGTGCCTTTCGACTTTCGTCTCTCGTCGATGTGAATGATTCCTCGAGGTCATAGGCCACCCTCGTAACTCACACATGTTCTCTGGCCCAACTTACTTGCGGCTCTGGTGGCACCTGTCGACTTGCTGTCGACTCTCATCTTGTCAAAGTCTCAGTGCGGCATTCCAAGCTTCAAGCTTCAAGCTTCAAGGCTCGGTCTCTTCCACTTTGCTGGTCCCCAGGCATGCATCCTGGACACCCTTTCGGTTGAACCTGGGACAATTTACTTAAATGGTGTATCGTTCCCCCATAATACCTACACGAAAGTAACTCGCTCGGGCATTTTACATGTATTGACCCATGTCATTCCGCAACGTCACTACAGAGGTGGAAACTCAAACTCATCCCCCCATTCCCCTCCATCAGTCCCGCGGTAAGCCGTAGCCCACTATCGATATGCCTCCAACTTCGGTCCAGTTGCTCATTTTGAGCAACCATTCACGTGGCTTCATCGTGAAAGGTCCCCGCCGCGAAGATGCCTCCGTGCTCGTGCTGCTTCGGTTCGCGCTGCTTGAGCCGCTGTACTTACCTGCTCCCGGAGCAAGCGCATCTGGCTCGTAAGCACTGCCGGACTCGTGGGCTCTGTATCTTCGTCAGCCCAGATTGATTCCTGTTTCTCTGCAGTGCGAAGCCGAGTGCGCCGCCGGAAGAGGAAGAACCCAACGACCGCGAGGATGGTGACTGCCGTGCCGCCTGCAATTACACCGACGCTCGGTTTCTTTTTGTCGTGCTTGAAGGAGACTGGGGTGGAAGCGGAGGAAGCTGTGGTACTAGTGAGTAGGGGCTACTCGATGCCGAGTCATTGTCTGCACTATGTCCACCCCAGGATCAATACATCTCTTTTCACCCAGCGCATACACACCTATACATCGCGTAATCAAAGTAAAATCCAGAAGCCCCGGCACTCTGCAAGACAACGCTATGCGGCCCGTGCACCATCGAGGTGTTGACGAAGAACGCCAAATGGCTGTAGTCATGCCTTCGGCGGGGGCGGCAACACGCGCTGCTGATTCGCGAGGATGCTCCCGTCCAGCGAGAAGGTACACTGGTATGGCGGAGTCGGCGACTTTCCCGAGAACGCGTCCTTCGCGTCGGCGACCATGAGGTAGACGTACACGACATTTCCTGCTCGGTGAGAACCGTGCATACGAGGCAGCAGTAACATGAACGCGCCGGCAAAATTCGAGCTCACCTGCGTGTCCTCAGTTGTGGAACCAAAGCTTCCGCGTTACTGTCCCGTTATACAGCTTCGTCTTGGAAAAGCCTGTTGCTCGGGGCATTCTCTCTGCACGTTGGGATCCGAGTCTTCGACGAAGTGGTTTGTGGACACTGCCGGCGAGGCAATCACAAAAAGCGTCAGGATAGAATCCGTTCTAACCCGCATTGCAGGAGATGCTTTTGAAGCGAGGCGGTTTGCGACTAAGTAATACAGTATTCGATGCGCGACCGCCTTTGCGAACGCAATTGAGGATTCTCAGCCCTGGAAAGGGAATGCCGTTCATTTTGAGACTTTCAAACGAAGACGAATTTTACAAGCCCCGAGTACCATGTCATTCGTCACTGAATGCTTGCTATATGACCTCCGTCCGATACCCTTCCCTCTCGTCAATTAGTAAGCAAAGAAATTGGACGTTTCAAGTTTGAAGCGCTCAAAACAAAACAAAAAAGACGCAACTGTACTGTTTAATGAAATGCAGGAGGTGAATCCACGGGATGAAGGATGTACTGCATTTCTCGCGGATGCGGGGCTGACACGCCCGGAATTCGGCACCCTGGTCACACCAGCGGGAATCGAACCCACGTCCTCCCGCCGTCGGACAATCGGATTAGGAGAATCTTTGAGCGGGCTGTTCTACCACTGAACTATGGTAACGACGAAAGGACTGAATTTTCAGTGAATATATGCCCTCACGGCTGTTGGTTGGCGTCTGGGGTTCTTTATCATCTCCACCAAAGGATCCCAGAAGTCGATAAGTCCCCTATTTGTGCCATTCAACGCTATTCAACCAGATTCAGCTGCGATTCCGCGGATCCAAACCTAATCAGTACAATAGCCTTATGGGGCGCAGGAAGCATTTGACGCGTCGGTGGCGATGCAGCTCGGGTTTGTCGCGCAGTCGAGACGGTCGGCGCATCCTTACTAACGTGGGTCCCTCGTTCAAGACGGCGACTGGTTGTTGACTGGTCGTCGGTGCTTCGGGAATTCTGTTTGCATGCAAAATCTACCAAAAAAATCATGGAACAGTTCTCAATTACTTCGGATCAACTATATGTACATGAGCGTGGTGGAACTATACACAATGGAACTCGTACAAACTCAGGCACACGAAGCTGGTCTCTGGAGCCAAATTCGACCGACAATATTAAGGGTCAATATTGATACTGATATGCATGCCGACATATGTGCTTTCCAGCGCGAGCAAGTCGGTCTTCACAACAGACGGTAGAACTGCTGGACGAAGTACGCGCAAGTGGAAGGTCTCCAGCATAGCCTGCCCTGCGACAACCGCCCGCCTTGCGTGCAGCGCGGCGAGCAAAGGATCCAACGATTCTTGCTCCCTGGGACCGTACACAACTCGCAGTGTATCGAGTCTCGGAAGAACACCGGCGAGAACGGCCCTCACATTCGCCAGCACGCCGGTGAAATGCGTTGTGAATTCGAAGTCTGTTACGGAGGGCACGGCATGTAGGAACACCTCTAATTCGGCGGCAGTGATGGCGGGGGGCATGCGGAAGGAGAGACGCTGCAAGGTACAGCCAGAGCGCGCCAACAGCGCTGCCAGGTCCTGATTGAGTGGCATCATACCGCCAGAAAATCCTGGACCCCATATGTCGAGGCGCATGAGACTGGGGACGGTGACAAAGGGGAGAATGGAGCTGCCGTTGTTCGCCAAATGGCGCAGAGAAGGAAGTGTGCATGGTGCAATGGCGCCGGCTACCGGTGGCCGCATTGCCATGAGTGAAAACCGCAGGGTTTGGAGAGTGGTGCAATGCCGCAACGCGGAGATGCCGGCCTCCCCATCGTGGGTGTTCATATCGACAGTCGTCAACTGGTTCCACGCCGCGTCTACTGAGAGGAAAGGAAATTCCCGGAGGATGACGGTGCGGAGGAGGGGGGCATTCAGAATTGTGATTGTTGTGTCCTCAGAGATGATATTCGTGTTGAGGGAAAGCGAGACTTTACGGAGGGCGGGAAAGGGACCGTGATGCGTTACAAGCGCAGAGAACGATGAGACCGGAAGTGAGAGATGGAGCTCCTGCCATCGCAGAGACGATGCGATACTCCCCACCATGAGAGCATCCCCTCGCTGGTCATCGTCAGTCACAAGCTGAATCTTGAGCGGGAGGGCTCCCGCACGAGTCGCCCACAAGCCCAGTACTTGAGGAGGGACGGTGGGGGTACTGTCGTCGATCCGAATCGATTGCCATAACTCTGGCGTTTGCTGGCTGATATTTCGCCATTGTTGACTGACTCGCCCCAAACTCAGAGGAGGTTCTGTAAATCTTGGCAGTGGAAAGCGGCCGTTTGCTGCGATTGAATCGGCGACGATGTCTCGCATGATTTGTTGGGTGATGACCACCGGGAGGGCTAGGATGGGGACCGTGGCCATGGAGCGCTGCGAGTGCAGGGCGATTGTGGTACTTGGGAGAAAAGAACGAAACCTACGGGTGCTCCGATTATCATGATGGCACTGATCTGATTCCAGAGTCCACTTGGATTCCAGTTTGAAGATTAGCTGAGAATTGCGACGCTCTCATGTTTCTCGAGTCCTTGGAGAATCAGCCAGTCCAGGCCCGTATCGCAACTTGAACGCGCAGTCTGAGGCATTACTTCCAACTCAATATTGTACCCTTGAGTCGACGCCACGCCAATCGTCTCTCAACGGTTCAAATCGCGCTCTTTCTCTCTCTCATCCAAAACCAAAACCATACAATTCACACCACAAGCAAGCACGGCACACCACAGCACACTAATCTACTCACACGCCCCCATCCCCGCGCGCACACGCCCGAATCCGTGTCGTCGTTGCTGTTTTATAGTCCCCAGTTTTACAATGTTTTGCGGCTACCCGTTTTTCTTGCGTTTCTTCAATATTTTTGTGATTTCTTGGTCATTTGAGTTTTTTGCGTATTTTGAGGAGCTGGACGAGGGGGAGGCGGGGGCGCGCGGGGGTCCGAGACGAGGTAGCCAAGCCGGAAGATTCACCGAGGTTGCTGCAAGCAGCGGAAGGAGGGAAGGCGGGGCCGCGCGGGTGTCCTGATCGAGGTAGCCATTTGCCGGGGGTGGTGACCGTGGTGTGCTGGGCGCGAGCTGGACCTTCGTTCGCCGTGACCGGAACGAGAGTCCTCATCGTCCTCCTCCGCCATCACATTCTCCTCATTCTCCTTCTCCTCCCACCTCTACGCGCTCTTGGCCGCGGCGCGACCGATCCAGGAGTACCTGCGACCCAGGCACTTCGACAGCTTCGACCACTGGCGCGAGGCGAAGAACGCCGCGACCTCGGGCGTCGGTGAAGCGCTGGAAGTTGTCGGCCGGGGTGTACGTGGTGCCGGAGATCTCCAGCAGCCATGCCCAGTGCCGCAGACTGATGACCTCCTCGAAGGCGGCCCTAAGCGCGCGCGGCAACGAGGACGAGCTGGGCGGGGGCGAGGAGACTAGGGCGGGAGCGGACGGCCGACGGGCGGGCGAGGACGAGGGGGCCGACCAGAAGACGTCTTCCACCTCCCGCCTCTGCGTGTTCTTGACGGCAGGGGCCACCTCAACGTGGTCGATCGTCGAGTCCCTCCTTGGCATGGGGAGCTCGACTCCCATCCACTCCTCCATCACGACCCACTCCGGCGAGCCGAAGAACGCCGCGATGTTGTCGTCGGTGAAGTGCAGGCACTGGGAAGGACCGGTATACTCGAGCCCGCTGCCTTCAGCATGTCGGGCCACTGTGGCCGTCTCGTCAGCCCCTCGAAGATGACTCTGAGCAAGGGCGGCGATGAGGTCACGCTGGGCGGGAGCGACGACACTCGAGCGGGTGCGCGCTGGAGCAGCGCTGGGGCGGACGCGAAACGGAGGGTCGACGCGGGGACGGAGACGGGCGGCGATGGGGCGGGGGCGCTGATACGGCGCGAGCCAGAAACCAGGTCAATCTTGGCGTTGACGAACGCTGGCGCGACGCTGGGGGTGGGGTAAGCGCGGGGAGCGCTGTCCTTATGAGCGGCCGCGGCGGAGAGACGGCGGTGAGGGCGGCGGGGAGCACGCTGCTGCCTCTTGACGGCCTTCTCCTTGTCGCGGGTGTTGCGGCGTCGCGAGGGGAGCGCCTTGCCGCGCGCGCGGATGCCAGCCTTGTTGGTGTTGGTGATGGTGGTCAATGCCTGGCGCCCGTTGTACGCGCTCTTGAAGTCGTCGGGTGCGGAACGTACGACCAGGTCCCCATCCTTGGCCTCCGGGAGTACTGGGGCCAGCGTGTCCACCGGAGGCGGCGTCACCACGATCGTGGGAGGCTCCGACGTCTTAAGCATGCTGAGCGCGACAGGTACGGCCGCAACGCCCACAGAGGACTTGACGGGGGCGAGTGCGGCAGCAGAGATGGACATGACTGTGGGACGGGGCTCTATAAAGTAAAATACCAGCGAGGGAAATACATGAGATGCGATGCACATACCTGTGGAAACGAATCCCTTTTGACCTAGAGAACGAGGAGGGTGATGGTGGAGAGTACAAAAGACAAGAGGACAAACCTCGATCTCCTTCAGCAACGGGAACACCGTTACCAGCATCGTCGTCACCGTCGCGCCCCGCCGTCCCGCAAAGACGTCCGAGCACGGGGAGACATAGACTGAACATACTAAAGAATGTGGGGTGAGGTGGGTGTGGGTGTGTGTGGGAGCTGGCGAGCTGGTGAGCTGTGGGCGATGGGGGTGGTAGAAAGCAAGGAGCGTTCTGAAGTGGCTGACTTGGCTCCTCAGAATTTGGTCCAGTTTTGTTCGGCAGGCCCGTAGAATGGAGCTCGGCAAGTCCCAGGTCTCAGGTTATCGAGCGTTGCAGGAGGGAGTACATTGAGACCAAGGACAAGATATCGAGTACAAGTAAATCCCCGGCCGAGCCATGTATTTTCAAGTGACCAGAGCAGAACAAACACGATCGGGGTGCTTTCCCAGATGCTTGAGCCATTTCCGACTGAGTATCATGGATGGATACGTCGGATGAGTGCCCAGGGCGTTTGTTGCCATCTTGGACGTCGAGGAAAAGTTACGTCCGGGAGCGTCCGGGCCGGCAACGTGACTGATATTTTGTACGCTACGAGTCCTACTTAGTAGTAGCTATATGAGTTTTCTCTGCCAGGCAGCCAATCTCCTGTTCTTTCAGGATGAACGCCGTAGTGGAACTTTGACGCGTATGTAATTTGAAGATGGGCAAGGAAGGGGTATAATGAATTAGATGCCAACAAACAGAGCCCACACCCCCTTCGCATACGAAACAATCTCGTCCGCACCCAGCTTGCTCTCCCCAAATATCCGGTCCACAAACGTGATGGGCACCTCCCCCACACTGTACCCCAGCGCCCGCGCCCGCACCATCATCTCCATCTGGAACACATACCCCTTGGACTGCGTCTCCGCGATAATGTGCCGCAGCACGGGCAACCGGTAGAGTCTAAGCACGATAGCCCAAGCAGTCAGCAGAATGTAGGGGATGCAGAGGCGGAGATTTCGGAGTCTTACCGGAAACTCCCCGTCAGATCGCTGACGCCGGGGTTCAGCACCGTGTCCGCCAGAAAATTCGCGCCGCGCGAGACGAGCTTGCGCTTCAGGTCCCAGCCGTGCACGCCACCCGGCGTCGCCGCGCTCAAGAACGGCTTCGACGTCGAGCGGTACCGTGTC